GTGTAAACAGAGGGCCAACCAGTGCCTGGGAGACCTTGGGTAGGATTCATTGGCACAGTAAATGCATTGATGGATCTGAACATGTTGGTGATTGTGAGTTTTGATGTAGGACCAGGAAACACATTGTTCTGTTGTATATGCCATGCGTCAGAGTTAATGCTATGGTAGCTAACAACAGCAAACATATTAATAAGCAAGTACGCAGAGTGTAAGCGATAATGTTGTTATTTCACAGAGCGTGCCGGACTGGACTCAACATAACTGGTAGTCTCATAAATAGTGACCTCATTCCCATATCATCCGGTGAAACTCCTACAACATGACAAGGCGCATCCAAACATTTGTACAACTTCCTGGAAGAGGGGGAGCCTCCAGCACCAGCACCTGCCATCAGCTGATGCTTTGGCTGAGCTGACCCAGACCACTGGGCTCGCGCATTTCCAAACCGGTGAGAAGAGGAAGCGGAGCGGCTCCAGGACTGTCTGGATTGGCCTTTCCCCCCACAGGCAATGATATTGCAGGGCTCAGGGAAGGCTAACAAATGTAGTTGCACAGCTCCATCTGCTGGCAGCTGAGCCCTAAGGGACAGTTTTTAAAAAGACGTAGCTAGCATCTTTCCTTTCTCATTTCTCCTACTTTGCAGCTTTTGGTCGTGTGAATATTACGAACAGGTCCCCTAGTCCCCTCCCCTCTTACTCTCCACTGCCTCCTGCAGAGTTGCTGCCCCCTAGATGGTGGCCATGGAATGGATGGCGACACAAAATCCTCAACTTGTCTTCTTGCCATATTCGGACCTGGCTCCTATGAAAAGTCATGCTGAGACAGCAGTCCCATGCAATTTGTTCTCCTAATAAAATGAGGGGATCGACACTCTTAATATCATCACGATTTTATAGGCGAAGCAGTGGTAGCACAGAAAATAGCAAACTCACCAGAACCTTGCAAGTCTTAAGCGGTGAAGCGGGGATCGGCGTCAGACTCCTGAACGCTGAGCTATTTTCCCTCACAGCACTGCCTGAGGCTCTGGGAAATGAATCAAAGTATTATTTAATCCTTGTCCGCCAAGAGCTCATAGAATATTACCAGAGAACAGACACTAAAATAAATAATTATAATTTGCTCAATGCTGGAAATAC